CTAATATATGTCGTGGCCCGAAGGTTGCGGGTCTAAGAGGTTCGGCGAAGAAACAGAGATGATCACAAAAATAGCTACTTTTATTCAATGTTTTGCACTCTACGAATTATGCTTTGCTGTAACATAACTTTGGGAGCAATATGAAATCCTAACCCCTAGCCAGATATACTAAATTATTGTTAAGTACTTATCTGGCTTTAAAGCTCCTTGTTATGATCCTTCTTGGAGCCCGATAGCCTGGTCAGCTCCAAGGTTGATTACTTTACTTATATTCCTTGTGGATTCTACTCCATTATTCCTTGTGTATGAATCTGTTCTTCTATCCTAATACTTGGATTCCACGCTTTATGATCAACGCTTAACGCATAACCATTATCTCACACACTCAACGACAGGCATTTAAATAGTAGTTACATTTGCATAAAATCAGGTCATCTCTACGGAAAGCGGTTTTAAACTAAAATTACATTTAAATTAATTTCCCCAAGAGAATTAGTAGAAGAACCAGAATATTACCTGAAACATATGTATGTTATGTGTAAATTATATATTAATAGTAATATAGTAAAAGAAATTATAACCTTAATCAAGCTAGAAGACTATGTGTTTGGATTCGAGATATGATTTTAATGTATAGAACTTAAGAAGTGGTTCTAAAAATTTTAGAACACAGATGTCCACATTTTAAATGATTCATTCGAATGTTACATAAATCTAGCAAACAAATGAAAGGTACTGAAGCATGCTCACAGTTATTACAGTTGAATCTCACACACAAATGATAATAATAGCATTGAATATAACAGCATTCAAGATATCCAAGTTTCACAAAAACAATCATTGAATTTCAACATATCTATCTTCATTCCGAGATTCGAATAGCATATGTAGCCAATGCTGGTAGAAACAACTCTTGACAGATATTTGGATATATATTGCCAATACTGGCAGAAAAAAACTGTTGACAGATATTTGAACATATAGCCAATACAGGCACAAGAATTTGTTGTCAGATATTTGCCACTCTATTCAAACAATCACATAAAATAAATGCAAATAAAATAAGTTCACAGATAAAATAAAGGAAAACCAAGTCAAGCGATGATTTAATTTATTGACATGCATAAATAACAAAAGAATAATGGAACACACTGATTTAAATATAAAATTCAATTTCTCATCAAACATGGTATATTATAACACATGGCATATAATTTATAAAGAATATTCTTACTTATAAAGATTATCATCACAGTAGTGCTTCTACTTGAATCTAAATAACTAGAGAATATTCCAAATCAAAATTAATTCCGATAAAATTTTATTTCCCATCATGGCCTTTCAAATAAAATCCTTGAAAACATTGCGATGCTTCAGGAATCAATAATACGAAAGGAAGCAAAATATTTTCCAAGAGATTGTACTTATGTGTAGAATTTTATTTCTCTAGGCACTCAATAGTTTAAAAAGTTTTACTCCCCCTAAGTAGAATTTAGTGTTTTAGAGAAAATACATTTCCATAGTTAATATCAATCAACACGCTAGGTTAATTTTTAACTGGGTTAATTTATCTTTACTAAAATCGAGATTTCAGAGCTGAAATTCCTGTACATGTCAAAAATTCTTAATAAGAAGCAATAAAGAAAGTGAGGTTGACAGAAAATACAAGCTAGATCATTTTCCATTAAATTTGATTATTGATTTTCAATTATGAAGTCGTTATTTTCCATGTACTCCTTTAATCTAATTATTAGTTCTAGATAATGGAGTAGTGACAGAAATAGAATGCAGGATAAGCAGACTAAAAGCAGTTCTCTTAAAACAGTACAGTGAATTTTATTTAATTTTATTTTAGTTGTACTTCAGTATTTTTATTTACCACGATAAAACACAGCCTATAAGAAATTTACTTCACTACGTTTTTATTTGTCATTTATTTTAATCAGTTACAATAAAAAGAACAAGCGGAGTAAAATTATCAAAGAAATTATTTTTTTTTATCTTTTACACACATGTTGAAAGCACTCTGATTTTAAACAGAAATTGTTTTTACATTAAATTTATTGTCGTCACTTTTTCAAAATTAAAAAGCCCTTTAGCTGAACAGTGCGACGTTAATATTAACTCAACTCAACTCAACTCATGTACATTGTTGCTTTTTAAAAAGTTTGTTCGTATTTTATACGATTTAGAATAAAAATGCATTCAATAATTAAATATAGAAGAATTTTCTTCTCTTTTGTACCGTTAAATTTATTTTATTTTGCATCGGGTTTTATAAAGAATTATTTACCTATTGCTGAAGCACTGCTTTAAAAAAAAATGTGTTATATAAAGTTTATGAAAAGAACATTTTTATTGCATCGATATTTACTTATGAATATTTTTTTATTTTTATATTTTAGTATGATTCTGAGTTACATTTTTCACCAAGATTAAGAATTTATTAATTAAGTTTATGAATAATATCTTTAAAACAAAAAAAACTGAATATCCTTTCGAAGAAATTATCATACTCTGTTTAACGACCTTTTTTAAAACGTTAAATAGCAATGAGACTTAAGCAAAAATATATTGGTGTTTTTCATTTTTGCAGGCCATTTTCGAACTTAATCTGTTAAACTAATTAGATAAAAGTAAAAAAAAAAAAAATTGCAAAACCAATTCACTCAATAGTTTAACTAAGTTAGTTGTTACGCTTTCAAAGTACTTTTTTAGATTTAAAAAAAAAAAACAATTTCGAAAAAGTCAGAAGACGAATTTTAATTCAAGATATGTTCTCGGCTAATCATAAAAGAAAAATAATCGATAATGCATTAAAATTAATTTTTCATTTGAGAGATCCTTGGTTTTCAGTATCGTAAACATTGTACTTAAGTAAATTATTACATATGACATCGAGCTGGTGTTGAAAAACTAAATAATATACTAATATGATGGGGTAAAATGTCTAATATGATCGCGTGACGACTTTTTTTTTAAAATGACTCATTTATATTTTGTAATCGAAGGAAAATGTGGCCGCCGTAGCCGAGTAACGACCGTGGCTTGCTTTGTCAACAAAAAAGACTCCCGTGTTGCACGTTAAATTGTAACTGAAATATTTGGTGTGGTGTGGTAAACATGCCAGCTCGGGTGTCGTCCACGTCACTTGACCATGGTTCAAAATTACGTGGTCCGTCGCCAAAAGCCCTCGTGTAGCTGAACAGTGCGACGTTAATATTCAATCAATTCAAGGAAAATGGAGTTTTACAGGCAAAGTTCGTTTCCCAGCATGAACTTGAAAAAGATTATGGTAGCCGAAGAACAATTGAGCAAGGTTGCCAGGTTGGAGACTTTATCGCCCTTGGTGACAGATTTGGTGAAAAATATTTTGCCGCCAAAGAATCATCGAAAAGTTTCAAGGGTTAAGCCTTCTAGAAATTTCCCTGTGGCTATCTACACTGCTGGCCATTAAAATTGCAACACAATTAAGGAAAGTAAATACAAAAAAGATAGTTATTACACGTAAACAGTACGGCATGAAAATAAAATTATTAAATTTGCATGCAGTTTAAGGCTTTACAAGGGTGCGAAATTAGTAGAAACAGTTGTGATCCCCAGCAGCTAAAATGGCCCGTATTCGATTAAGCATGGACTTGAACTGAGCATGGATCATAGAAACGGGCAGCACATTCCTTGCTGCTTCAAATCTATGTCAAAATTCATCAATTAGGGATTGCAGCCCCGGGATCCCAGTGTTTTTTCTAATCCTGAAGAGTTCCAGGATTGAATTTTTGTCTGAATTATATTTTAGAATTTTTTTTCTCATCAAAATTTTCTAAGAAATTAATTCTTAGAAGATTTATATTTTGTTTATGAAATATGCATATAGAATTTTGGAAAATAAAAGTGCTATAAGTAAAGAATATATGGAGCTCGTATTGGGAGAACATAGCACAGATCTAAGTGGCTCACTGCAATACTTACACAATAATATAAGTAACATCTCAAGAATAGATTTTGTAATAGTTCCTTGTTAAATTAATTGGCGTTAAATAACACTAGAAAGACTGAAACTTAGTTTATACCTATATTGCCCAAAAGCAGTCAAAATGTCTGCATTGTAAAAAAATGATTAATGTGTAAAGAAATTTGTTTAAAATTGATTTTTGATATTTTTTTTATTATTTACAGTCACATTACAAGTTATTAGTAAGTATTAAGTATAAAAAAATTTATTTCATTTGGGAAAAAAATATATTCTAAAAAATTCTAAGAAATTGTGCATTATATATGTAATTGTTATTCTAATTAAATTTAAAAAGCAGTCAAAAGGACTTCTTTGGGCAATCTAGTGTAAGAAGTGGATCTGCTTGAAAGATTTGAGACACTTCAAATCCCCCATTGCATTACTAACAGCTCATGTAGCTGGATCTTCTATATTTCAAATAAGGTAACACTTGAAATTTATTCACGTTCTGATTCAATAACTATGAATCAATTTATATACAAAAATCATTAAGTGTTTTAGAAGAACTAGATAAAGTTACCAAAGAGGTATATGCACCGAATTACAGTCTATCAGATTTGACACACTGTCATCAAAAATTCAAAAAGATATGTGTCTTTTTTGAAAATGGAGGGAGAAGTGGTGACTAATTGAAAAGAACATACTCCTATTTAATGATGATAACACCTACTAGTATAGAATCCGAGCGAGTATTTTCTAAGGCAGGACGATTTGTAACAAAAACAAATAATATTTAAAAACTTTTAGTCAATTCCTACTTAGGTCAACAAAGAAAAATTTTATTTTAGTTACTTTTTATTAATCGTTACAATTAATACAAATATGTATATGAAAAATCACAATATTAAGTGACAAAATAGAACGCGATTTTTCTTTCTATGTACATATGATGTTGAACTATTTTTGTTACTATTTATTCATTAATTAAATTTAATTATTCTAATAAAATAGTATAGCAAAAAAGAAATCTCATTCTCAGAAATTAGGCCATCTCTAGTGGGATTCGAACCCACTACCTTTGGATTAGAAGTCCAACGCACTATCCATGATGATACAGGAGCAGAACGAACGATTTTCCTTTATAAACAGTGTTTTTTTTCAGGTATAGAAGTTTAAGTTGGCATTACTTTCCAAAATGGCGACCGATTTAACAGCTGTCAAGTGATTTATTCTCAGTTTGGTTTGGCAATTCATCAAAACGATTATCAAGCAAGGCGTAGATTCGTCGAATGGGCCTAAAACGAGATTGCCGTTGTTCCCGATTTTCATAAGCGAATTTTGTTTAGCGATGAAGCGCACTTCTGGTTGAATGGCTACGTCAACAAACAAAACTGCCGCATTTGGAATGAAGCTAATCCACAAGTGTATGTCGAAACACCGTTACATCCAGAAAAACTGACTGTTTGGTGCGCTTTATGGGCTGGTGGAATACTTCTTCAAAAACGACGAAGGCCACAACGTTACGGTCAATGGTGATCGGTATAGAGCCATGATTACTAAGTGTTTCATTCCTGACTTGAACAATCATGATGTCCAGGAGTTGTGGTTCCAACAAGACGGCGCAACATGTCACACAGCTCGTGCTACAATTGATTTATTGAAAGACACGTTTGGTGACCGCCTAATTTCACGTTTTAGACCTGTGAATTGACCTCCAAGATGTTGTGATTTAACACTGCTAGACTATTTTCTGTGGGGCTATGTAAAGTCATTGGCCTATGCGGATAAGCCACAAACGCTTGACCATTAGGAAGACAACATTTGCCGTGTTATTGCCGATATACGGCCACAAATGTTGGAAAAAGTCTTCGAAAATTGACGTCCAGATTGGACTACATCCGAGCCATCCGTGGCAGTCATATGCCAGAAATCATATTTAAAATGTAATGCCACAAGATTATCTTTCGAATAAAAAAAATTCATGTCAATCGAACAATACATCGTTGTTTTATTGCAATTTAAAGTTCTATACCTCTTAAAAAACACCCTTTATATGCTGTTGGACTACTGTTTTTGTTTGTTACTATTTATTTATTTTTTTAATTTAATTAAGATGTTAATATTTGAAAGAACTGTATTAAAACATCAAGTGTGTCATTCACTACAAGTTTAAAAAAATGTATTTGTACTTAAATGGATGAATAGAAAGTATTTTACTAACAATCGGAAATTTGAACACAGGATATATACACGTATAAATAAACAAATAAATAAATATGCAGGGAGAGAGTGAACTAATAGTAGAAATTGAATAAGAAGCCGCTTGAACGATGAAGCGCTGGACAAGCTGTATTTTTTAAAAGTTTATTTGCAGAAACACAAGAAAAATGAAGAACTGTTTTTTTTTATTTCATTATGAACTATTTTTGTCTTTTATAATGAATTAATTGTTTTATTTATTTCAATAAAATTAATATTAAAACAATTTTTAATTAGATTTTCAGTTTTATTATGCAATTTCTACTGTGCTAAAGTGTAAGTATTTGTAATAAATTGTCCAATCCTAACCCGGGATTCGGGTAATGTAATCCCGAAATCCCAGGATTGAAAATATAGCACCGGACTGCAAATCCAATCGTCAACCGTAGTAGCTGGGGATGGGTGGTAGACCAATCTTTCAGCTTCCATAATCGAATGTTTTCACTGGGTGACAGATCTAGAGACCATGCAGGACAAGGCAACAATAGAATACCCTGTGAATCGAGGAAGGTTAGAATACAGCGTACAACTAGTTGTCTTGTATTGTCTTGTTGGAAGATAGTGTTGGTCAGACCTCAAAGATAGGAAAACCGCAGGTTGAAATATATCAGAAATGTACGGATCTGCTTTCAAATTATCATCTACTACTCAAATTACCAATTACTAGAGATGTGCGTGTCGTGTCGAGTACCGAATGGCTGACCAAACTATCACACCAAGTGCAGGGCCTCTATGCCCATATCGCAGTGCTTCTCAAATTTTCAATATTGGCGCGACCCAATATTCAATCATAATTGTTATCGCCCCCCTTTATACAATGGCAATATATTGAATTCGATAATACTATACTTTGACACCAAAACTACGATACGACTTTAACCTCTTAAGCGCCCCCGGCGTATATAAATGTATCGCTAAGCCAAAGCGTTTATTTCCCCGGACGTATATTTACGCCTTTCCGAAGTATGATCTTTTCTGTGCACTGCTATCCATAAAATTATTCCGAAGGCTTTGGAATGCAACAAAAAAACCTGGACAATGTTTGCGAAGAATTTACTTATTTCAGATTATTTACTTCTTTATTCCTTCCCGCCCCAATACATCACATACGCGCGCCTACGAAGAAAACGGCTGGCATTTGGAAAGCGAATTGCATCAGTTTTAATCGGCAGTGAAGGGATTAATTATAAACCGTACAAATTATCAAAATAAGTGTTAATTTTTGTTTTTAATTACATATACGACAAGCCCATGGTGTCACTGGTAATTAATAATCTTTTACTTAAATTAGTATTGTTAAATTAGTTTTAAAATATATTGCGTAGCAGTAATATATTTATAAGTGTAAATGTGTATTTTATTTTTATTACGTCAGAATATATTTTGTTTGTTTACTTTCAGTAAATTAATAATTTTTTTTTTTAAATAATCTTTTGTTTTCGACTTTTCAACAAGTTCGCGCCCCCTCGCAGAGTTGTCACGTCCCCCAAGGGGGCACAGTTTGAGAAACGCTGCCATATCGAATACAAGCAAGGAACAGAGGGGATGCGGCCATCAGAATACTAGATGCAAAAAAGGGAATTCGTCTGGAAAGACAACATTGTGGCACTTCTGTATCCAGTTTTGTCGTTCGGGGCACTAGTGTCACCGTCTTTCTCTATGCTGCATTGTTAAGGAAAGCCGAATAAATGGTCTTCGTGCTTACAGTCTACGCTGCTGCCAACGTCGTCGCACCGTACGAGCGGATACTGGGCGTTCTGCAAGCATGCCCATTTACTGACTATTGGTCCGCGATGTGGTTGTAAGGTTTTGCAGGGTGGACCTCACAATATGTCTGTCTTTTCAGGTGTTAGTCATGGGTGGGTGGGGAAATCCAGCATGTCATTCAGTGTGACCTTCAGCATCCCATTACTTCCATATACACACGACAGGGGTTGAATTTCGACCAACGTGATGGGTGATATCACAGAACGATAATCCACGCTCTCGATAGGCTGCAACCATCCTGCCTCTTTCGGATTCCGTTACTTGCTAATAAGCATTTCTTCTTCTCATTCTAGGCATAACACAAATCTCTGAACAAACTCCCACCTTACAAAGCGTTTTCCCCGAATGAGAAATCATTTACACAACTTTTCTTTTATACTGTGTTTAATAGGTCGTTTCTCTCTCCTGTGTCTTCTAAACGTGCTGAAACACTAACCAATTGTATATCCTGACTTCTTCCTTTCGTGTTATTTTAACGTTCGTCAAATCAATCTTTCTTGATGTTGCAATTTTAATGACTAGCAGTGTATATAGATGTTGGTGGAGTATAAAAAGAGTCATTGGAGTTCGAAATTTTCTTCGATAAGAGAGGGAGAGACATTTTATCTGAGTTTCTGCTTATAGAACTCTCCTAGAGAGCCTTTCTGGAGCTTTGTAAAGCTTGTTTATGACGAATGTGTTTTTCACTTCTGTAAATAATCTGTTATAACATTTCCTTCAATATAAAGGGTGTTTTTTTTCAGAGGTATAGAACTTTACATTGCAATAAAACAACGATGAATTATTCGATTGACATAATTTTTTTTTATTAGAAAGATAATCTTGGGGCATTACATTTTATATATAATATCTGGCATATGACTGCCACGGCTGGCTCGGATGTAGTCCAATCTGGACGTCCAAATTTCGATGACTTTTTCCAACATTTGTGGCCGTATATCGGCAATAACACGGCGAATGTTGTCTTCCAAATGGTCAAGCGTTTGTGGCTTATCCGCATAGACCAATGACTTTACATAGCCCCACAAAAAATAGTCTAGCGGTGTTAAATAACAAGATCTTGGAGGCCAATTCACAGGTCCAAAACGTGAAATTATGTGGTCACTAAACGTGTCTTTCAATAAATCGATTGTGGCACGAGTTGTGTGATATGTTGCGCCGTCTTGTTGGAACCACAACTCCTGGACATCATGATTGTTCAATTCAGGAATGAAAAAGTTAGTAATCATGGCTCTATACCGAACACCATTGACTATAACGTTGTGGCCTTCATCGTTTTTGAAGAAGGATTCCACCAGCCCATAAAGCGCACCAAACAGTCTGTTTTTCTGGATGTAACGGTGTTTCGACATACACTTGTGGATTAGCTTCATTCCAAATGCGGCAGTTTTGTTTGTTGACGTAGCCATTCAACCAGAAGTGCGCTTCATCGCTAAACAAAATTCGCTTATGAAAATCGACCATTATTTTCGAAATAAAATTGCACAATTTGAAAGCGTTGTTCAGGCGTGAGTCTATTCATGATGAATTGCCAAACCAAGCTGAGAATAAATCACTTGACAGCTGTTAAATCGGTCGCCATCTTGGAAAGTAATGCGAACTTAAACTTCTATACCTGGAAAAAATTACTCTGTATCTGTCGATTTGTCTTTGTAAAGTCATTTGTTTGTCCTCATCTATTAATATAAGTCTGTAAATCTGTCAAATAATTGTAGTCGTCGGCTGCTTTTTCCACACTCAAATTCGTAATATTACAGAAGATCATTCGCACTTAATGGAAAAGAATTTTTAACTTATTTTCCCGTTTTCATTTTGAGATAAAACTTGGCAACTTCAGCATAATTCTCTTCTAATATTTTATTTTAATTGGAATATAAAATAAAATTTATTTTGAAAATGGCTCCTAAAATGGATAATGGCTGGAAGGTTACGTAACTGAGCTTTCCAAAGTAAAATATCCGCTTCCACAAATTATAAAGCGGTGTAAGAATCTCATTTTTTCATTTAAAAAAGGGTATTTATAATATATTTAATTTTAAAAGAAAAAAGCATCTAGCTGATGGTAAATAAGAAGATCACTAAATCTCATCCCAAG